ACATCACCCACGATTCACTGAAAGCTGATATTAGACATGAGTATATAACGAGAGTACGTAAAATTCTGCAAACTCAACTCACGTCTAGAAACAAGATAACAGCAATTGGAGCTCTTGCCATACCAATCATGCAGTACAGCTTTGGTATAATCAATTGGACATTGGATGACATAAGACAAATGGATCGCAAACAAGAAAAACTAATGACAATACATAATATCCTTCATCCCAAAGCAGACATCGACAGATTATACGTGCCACGAAAGAAAGGGGACGAGGACTAAAGCAAATAGAAGAAACGTACAACAATACTATCTTCTCAGTAGGACAGTATATTCAAACTAGATCTGACCAGACCGCCTACTACAGATGTTACTAGCACATGACAATAGGAAACCAACAAATAGATCTATTGTAAAGCGTAGTAATAAGATCAAATTAGAAGCTGCGGAAGCCGGACATACGGTCGAGTGAGGGTAACAGGGTCCATCAAACTGTACTTGAAGCAATGTGTCGAAGAGAAATGGCGGAGTAAGCCTCTACACGGACAGCATATCCGTCAATGGAGGAAACTTCCAGTTGACCTAAGACTGTCATTTGGATAGTTACAATACGGAGATTTAAAAGAAGAAACCGAAAGCTTGCTGGTGGCAGCACAAGACCAAGCCTTGAAAACGCATTACATTGAGCAAGCCAATACACAAGACGAGGAATGACGGTAAATGCAGATAGACATGTCATACAAAAGGAGGCTGAAAAGCAACTAAAATACAAATCATTACTCATAGAAGTGCAAAGAATGTGGCATACAAAGGCAGTCGTTATTCCCGTAGTGATGGTTCAACTGGATATGTCACTCGCAACATCCTAGATAACCTAAAAAGGATACCAGGAGATCATAATTTCTATCAGTTACAGAAGATTGCCTTATTAGGCAAATCGCACATAATTAGGAAAGTTATAACATAACCAGCTCATAAACTACAAAGATCTGTACCCCTCAGGCCTCGGCGAGGCCCCGTGTAGAGGTCAAACCGTTCCATATAAGATACCGCTACTAATAGAAAACGGTCCTGTAGCGTGAAAAAAAAGAAAAATAATAATAATAATAATAATAAAATAATAATAATAATTATAATAATAACTATAATAATAATAATAATAATAATAATAATAATAATAATAATAATATAATAATAATTATAATACTAATAATAATAATAATCATAATAATAATTATAATAATAATAATAGTAATAATAATAATAGTAGTAATAATTATAATAAATAATAATAATATTAATAATAATACTAATAATAAAATTATTATTATTATTATAAGTCAGGTAATCTGTTCCTGGAGACGGAGGGCTTCATAGCCTCCATCCAGGATCAGGTAGTCCCAACAAAGTTGTACCGAAAGCGTATAATGCATGAGAACGTTGACGATATCAGATGCCGCATATGTGGGGAAAAAGATGAGCACATAGATCATATTGTAGCAGGGTGCTCTCCCTTAGCTCCTAAACAATATCTTGAAAGGCACAATGATGTGGCCAAAATACTTTATCAAGCTTTGGCTAAAAAGCATCTAGGAGAAACTGGTACACAGCCCTACTATAAATACACGCCGCCACCTGTGATAGAAACGGAGACCTCTAGGCTGTACTGGAACCGTAAAATCATAACTGACAGGCCCATCCCCAACAATATTCCTGACATAGTGCTCACACTAAAAGAAGAAAGAACGACGTTTATAATAGACATAGCTGTGCCTCTTCCTACTAATATCCAAACCACCCACGCGGAAAAAATCAATAAGTATTTGCCACTCTCCGACGAAATCAAACGCATGTGGGAAATGGGCAATGTGTCTATAATACCAGTTATATAGGAGCTACTGGAGAGATACCAAGGAAACTACACAAGAGTCTGGAAAAGCTACAGCTCCATCCAAAAATATACTTGCAACTGCAAAAAGCTGCACTGCTGGGAACATGTAGGACAGTACGTAGGGTTTTAGGAGATGAGAACCGGATACGGTGAAAAGACCGCTGCAGATCTATTTCCTTACTTTGGCTAACCGCCTGAGGGAAATATTAATACCTTCGACAGAGGAGTAAAATAGTATATAACAATAATAATAAGTATTACTATAATAATAATAATAATAATAATAATAATAATATTAATTATTATTATTATTATTATAATAATAATAATAATTATAATAATAATAATAATAATAAGAATAATAATAATAAAGGGGTCTGGCCGGTAAGGGGACTGCCGCCAGCAGTTTCAAACCGCTACCGTAACGACGTAGACGGTACAGCCAGCAACGCAACGTCTGGCCTCGACCAAGTGGTTGAGCTACTGTTATTAACACCGAAGGAAGGTTAGTACGGCCAGCACACCTCCTGTTCATCCAGGCGTGGTTTTTGTCTCTCTTCCACGCCTGAGCTTTAATACTTTTAGGTAAACAATTACACCTACCTATCAAAAGAGAACACAATTACCCAGAAATGGAGAAAAAACAAAATGAAGCCTCGGAATGTAACGACGTAATCGGACTCGATGCTATGCGACGAGGTCCGCGTCCGGCATGGAGCGTAGAGGAGGGTCGCACCCGGTCGTCATCCAGCAAAAGCCCCCCACAGATAGTGTGAGAAGTAACTCGAATGACCCCATCCAACAGCTTCCTGGGTCGAAGATGGCAATCATGTTGCTGGAAGCCAAGAGCCCCAGCCCATAATGCCAGACAATAGGAGGAGAAAAAGAACCACGTGGACTACCGAAATGAACAGATTCGTGGTTCGCTCCTACTACAGAATCACTAAACTAGAAACATCCACAGAGCCCTATGGTACTGAACTACACAAACAAGTTATCATGAACTTCCCTCACCTGCAAGGCAAAACTGTGCAAAACGTACTAGACCAGCGGCGATCCGTATTCATAAACAACAGATAGCCGGCAGAGGAGATAAACAAAATAAGAGAAGAGATCTCCATAGAATTAGGAATGCAGGAACAAGCTCCGCAAGAGCACACAGAAACCAAGAACAAATTCAGGCAAACGATGGCCAACCCTCTAAATACGCAGATGAGTTCAGGGGCTTGTTCATGAGGTATGATGGTGTGGAGCCATCTCTTAAACCAAGCCTACCAAAGCTAATAATAAAACCCCATACATCTGAGTATATCGCTGAAGTTAACAAAGTAATAGATAACGAGATTACAGAAGATACACCTTGACTGAGCTCCATAGCCTGTTGTACACTGGAGCACTTACAGCCCTAAAATTAAATGAACATAGAGTTGGCGACAATCTGTAAGAAAAACAGAAAACTGCCAGCCTGGGAGATGAGGATATCGCGTAATATAGAGGAGATTAGAAAGGACATAGCAATACTCACCCAGTACCGCAGGTCTGAATGTAGTCTAAGAGTAAAGAGATCCGCAGAGAATGTGATAAACCTTCACTGCTCGGAGGAGAACCCAACAGCTGTAGAAGTCTTGGACTACCTGAAGCAAAAACTAGCAGCTACAGCACTGCGACTTCGAAGGTACAAGAAAAGCAATGAACGCCGGAAACAAAATCGAGCATTCGAGACCAATCAGCGAGGCTTTTACAGGAACTTGCAGGCGCGACGGAGGGTTACAGAATAGAACAACGTTCAGATTCCTACCTCAGATGCCATCAACACCTTCTGGTCAGGAATTTGGAGCAATCCAATCAATCATTCCACATCTAAATGGTACCGCCAAGAGAAAGCAAATAATTCAACTTTTAGGACCATGCTCGACTGGAAAGTTAGCTTAGATGACGTGATAAATACTTTACGAAAATTACCAAACTGGAAAGCCCCAGGATCAGATAAGCTTCAGAATTATTGGCTAAAACGTTCACTCACGCTCACGATCGACTCGCAAAGTGTTACACCTCAATCTTAGAGCAACCAGATATGTTGCCAGAGTTCTTAACAATGGGAATAACATATTTAATCCCAAAGTGCGGCGGTCACTCGAACGATACGGCAAAATACCGACCAATCATCTGTCTGCCGACTATTTACAAGGTATTGACTGCTATAATTACTGAAAAGATATATTCACACTAGAGCGGAATACTATACTAAACGAAGAGCAAAAAGGTTGCCGAAAGGGTCTTGAGGCTGTAAAGAGGAACTTGTTATAGACTCTGTCATAACTAATTATGCCAAAAAGAAAAAAATATAAGGTACATTGCATACATCGATTATCAGAAAGCGTTTAACAGTATACCTCACTCTTGACTGTTAGAGGTGCTTGACCTTTATGGGATAATAATAATAATAATAATAATAATATTTATTCACTCAATGTACAAAGATAACAAACAATATGAGTAAATAAATATAAATCAAAACAGGATAGAGTGCCACATCAAACAATTTCTGGCACTTGCTATGGCGAATTGGAGACACGGATCTATCTCAACATCCAAGATACGCAATTTAGTGCCGGAGAGGTATCCTTCAAGAGAGGAATATTTCAAGGAGACTCTTTAAGTCCGCTATGGTTCTGCTTAGCGCTTAGACCGTTAACAATAGTGCTAAATAGCCAAAAGAAAGGAATACTGTTAGGTGGCAATGAAACACGCATTTCACATCTTTGGTACATGGATGACCTCAAACTTTTTGCAGAAACCAAAGACATCTTCATAAGCTTCTGGACTGTGTAAGTAAATTCAGCACTGACATCAAGATGCTGTTTGGCTTAGACAAGTGCAGGATCAGTTGCATGGTAAAAGACCAATGGAGTAAACATTCAGGATATGTACCGAACCAAGTGCAAGGGAAAATTGAAGGATGCAGCAAGATGAACAGTATAAATATTTAGGCTAGTAGATAGGGTTTGTATGTTCTGGGACCCCCTTGAGCGCCGACCTTCGGTGCCAAACGACCTTGAGAGCTGACCTTCGGTGCCAACCTTGAAATGTAACCTTGAAAACGTGACCTTGAGTTTCCGAGTGACCTTAAAGTGTGACCTTGAATTTTTCGAGTGACCTTGAAGCGTGACCTTGAGTTTCTGAGTGACCTTGAAGCGAGACCTTGAGTTTTCGAGTGACCTTGAAGTGTGACCTTAAGTTTTCGAGTAACCTTGAAGTGTGACCTTGTGTTTTCGATTAACCTTGAAGGGTGAGCTTGAGTTTTCTAGTGACCTGAAGTGTGACCTTGAGTTTCCGGTTCACCTTGAAGTGTGACCTTGATTTTCCGACTGACCTTGAAGTGTGACTTGAACATATATAACCTCGAACACTCACGACCTTGAGTGGGTGTGACCTTGTAGGAGTGAACGACTTTGAGATGTAGAAGGGATGACCTTGGAAATATGTGCTTAAATTGTAGAACGCGCGGAGAGAAGTCATTTGTTAGCAACAGTTTGTAAGAAGAAATGAGTCTGAAGTTTAAGTTGCCTACGGTGTGGGAAGGAAAGCCTGTAGCGGTGGTAAGCCCGTTTAAGATAAAGTGTTCCCCTCAAGAAGAAGAAAATTGGGATGATGATCGATGGCTCATGGATACCACACCACCTCACCAGCCGACGGGATCCAGCCCCCCTTGGACACTACACCGGTTCGGCGGGATGGATTCCGAAGATATGGACCCAGGAACCCTGCTCCGGAATTGCCAACGGAAGAAAATTGGGATGATGATCCACCTTCTGAAACGGATCCAGGACGTCCATGGACTCTACACCGGTTCGGCGGGATGGATTCCGAAGATATGGACCCAGGAACTCTGCTCCGAAGTGCCAACGGAAGAAAATTGGGATGATGATTAACCTGCTGGAACGGGATCCAGGACGCCATGGACACTACAACCGGTTCGGCGGGATGGATTCCGAAGATATGGACCCAGGAACCCTGCTCCGGAAGTACCAACGGAAGAAAATTGGGATGATGAATCCACCTTCTGAAACGTACATCCCTAATGTAGAAAATAGACCCATTATTAGGATGTAACCTCCAGGCATGTCGCGTAATGCGAGACTGAATGAAGGCTGCAGGAAAGAATTAGAATCCGCCAACTGCAACAGCAGTGAAGGAAGCAGAGGTGCAGAGAGTGTATATATTGTTAGCAGACGGAAGCAGAGTTTGAAGAGGGTGAAACAATGTTGGCAGAAGACAAAAGCAGTGGGGCGACCAAGGGGTGCACCAACAAAAGTAATAAGTGCAATAAAGGTGACCATCTCAATATAATTCCAAAGACCGTATCCTTCAACGAAAAAAACAAAGTATATACCATGTATGCTTGGCAATATGCGTACAGAGAAGCACGAAGAAGTAGCTGGAGGTTTCGAAGGCCAGTGCAACTAGTCGAAGAGTGCTAAAAACGTACGTGACCACTAGATTATAGACAAAAAGTGTTAACGAGAAAGGTTTGAAAATGAATTAGTGCATCAGATTTAGTATGAAGTTAGATTTTGTAAGTTTTAACTGTAAAATAAAATTGTAATGTAGTATAACGAAAAAAGGGAAAAAACCCACGCTTTAAATAGTGAAGTTTGGAGTGCACGTATTGCAATTGGCGATTAATAGAATCAAACTATTCAATGTCGATGCAGTGTGACAGTGACAGTGTGTACAAATGAAAAGACGTTCTGTAAGTTGTGTAAATATTCCTGTAAATACATATCGATAACCATTTACATGCTGTTTCCTGACAACTCATTGATTAAAAAAAGCTAATATGTTTTTAAATAATTGTTTTATTTAAAAAATTATGACATGATAAAGTTCTTATATAGTCAACGCCAAACAAAGTGGCGTGCACGTCATCAAGGTGGGTGTGTTGAAAAATTTACATCGTTGCCAAACTTTTGTAAATAATAAAATTTATTATTTACATATCTAGGTTTATAAGCAATATTAACCTCAAATGAGACAAAAATAATAGTATAATAAAATTATAGATCTGTACTTGCATAATCATTAAGTATGACAATTATTGATCAGATGACACTATGAAACTACCATATTTAATTGATAGCTTAAAGGTACTGAATAAAAATCCAAATGGGGTCCTCCAAATTTTATGCATGGTATTTATTTTACAGAATGCATACAGAAAAATGCATTCTAAAATTAGGTAAGCTACTGGTGTAAGCTTTTTCTGTACAATAAAGTTAGTCGGAGTTTCTTTCTTCAGCGCTGTCTGAATCTGAATCTTCATCACTCTCAAAGTTGATTATTAAAGGTTCGATGTCTGGTCGATCAAAAATTCGTTCTCTTTCATACCATTTAAAAATTTCTTGCTCAGTATGTCGAACACTATTTTTCCACATGTCTGGGGTAACCGTTTGTAGAGCCTCGTTCCACATATCCAAACAGTCTTTTTCACTGTTACCATCTCTACCAATATGTCTGTTATAGTAACCTTTTGCTATGCCCCAAATTAACTCAATAGGGTTAAATAACAATGGTAAGGAGGCAGACGAAGAACTTTGTGCCCATGTTGTTCCGCCAATTCATCAATCACGTATATTTTAGGTGGTTTTTTCTAAAAAAGCAGTTATTTTAAGAATAGGAATAAACAAAAGAAATATAAACTGTCGACCAAAATATATATAATTAAGAAGCATTATGTACCGAGCAACAACACTCAATAGCTCTGTTTTAAACATTGTGTTTAAAAATGGTATGTTTTGATTTGTCAACCAGTCTTGGATATTTTTTTTTGTCCATGCATTGTTGGGCACTTTGTTCAATATCATGCTGTGATAAGGGGCGTTATCCAGTATAATCATAGATGGACTCTCCAATTTTTCTAATAACTGATGTTGAAACCATTTCAAAAAATTGTCCTGGTTCATCTCTCCATGGTAATCGCTCAATTTTGTTTTCGAAGAAAATATCGCTTCACTACCCTCAATAAACCCATTTTCATTTCCAGCATGTAATATAATGTATCTAAAATATATTAGTTTTAAATTTTATAGTGCAAATTGTGTAAAAGTACATACCTTTTACCATCTGTTTTAATAGCTTTCACGCTTTTTTGGTTTCCATTTTGCCAAGAGCGACCTATGGTCCCATTTTGAAATATCCAAGTTTCATCGAGGAAGACAAACTGGTATAAGGCCTCAACCTTGGCTTGATTGTATTGCCTTAGAAATTCCACCCTTTTCAAAGCTATACTTGGTAGTTCCATGAGCCCTCGTTGCGGATTGTCCTTAAGCCACTTAAATCCAAGATCTCTAAGCAACCGCCTTAAAGACGTGGCACTACCATCAAATAATGCCCTATCTCTTAATCGAGACCATAAAGTTTGTATCGTAACTTGTTCTTCTGAAACCATGTGTAATATGACATTATAATTTAGTTAACAAATTAATGCAAATTTCTGATAAGTTATTATAATAAGATCTTACTTTTGTGATACATATTATAGATCACTTCTCGAATGGCACTTGTATCCAATGTCGCTGTGTTGGTTACACGTTTAATATAACTCCGCTTTTTCTGGGGCGATTCTAAATTTGCATCACTTTTCACACCCTCGGAAATACGACTAACTGTCCTTAAACTAATTTTTAAAGCAGCAGCAACACGCTACAAAAAATGAAATAAAATTTCACTATTATTAATATACATTACATATAATTATTAGTAACCTACCTCTTGAACAGCATTTAAAGGCAACAAAGGCCCGTTGTTGTCCCTTTCTTGCTCAAAGTAGTGCATTAACGAGGCCACGAGTTCCTTACACCGACTATTTAACTGTTTGGGCATCTTTATATACCAAAATTGCCTTTATCTACTCGTAAAATGAATAATTTTGTTTTGAAACAAACAGTTGTTGATTTACAGTATGCGGGGCCAAAGGATTTATAAAGATTTGAAATGCCACAAATTGATTCAGTGTCAAAATTAATACAAATGTCAGTTCCCAGTTTAAATAAGTTTCAAGGTGACAATGTGTCAACGCTGCGAAATCGGTTTAGTGCGTTTACATGTCGATAAGTGATTGGAGCGTTTGCAAAACATTTTATTTCGCATAATGCGTCTAAATTTATCAGAAAGCAACTTATGTGATATTTTAATAACAATGTTTATATGACTATTAACCATAATAAGAGAGTAATGACCATTTTACAATTTATATATCACATTAATATGAAACTGCAATAGAGCAATTGTTTGTGATAGAAACCTAGGCATTAGGTCGGGGAATTTTTATCGTGATGACGTGCACGCCACTTTGTTTGGCGTTGACTATACAAATAAAATACGTTGGATAGTGCACACATGGTGATAGGCTTGGAGTGGTAGAAACATGCAGTGCTAGCGGGCTCTAAACGAGGCTGTTCGTCCAATTCGATGACGGGTTTGCGGAAAAACCGTCTCAAGTAGTTTGCTTTTTCGACTCCTTTGACGAAAATTCGATCTGCATGCTTCGTTAAGTCATCCATAATTTTTGGAAAGGTATGTAGTGGAGTAAAACCAGAGTTCCAATTTATGCAGTGATGATTCTGCTTCAACCAAGTAGCTTGTGTTTGTAAGTCCGGTGGGAGCAGATCCAGTGCAAAAGGGGGCTTGAAGACATAGTGACATATTTGTTGTCCATCATACCCAGCAAGTTCTTTAACAATAAATTTATTATGTTCGATTTTGAATCCTTGCACATCCAAAACAAGATTCATATTCGCAAAACAGGAAACTGATGGAAAACACACTGTTGCAAGCAATATGATTCAATGTCTTGTCTTTATTGTTTAAGTTTGGAGACGTACCGCTCAAGAGCTTTGTAGTAAATGAGCTTCATAAGAAAACTGACCAGGAAATGTGGGAAATGAGGTTTTTATAGACTCATAAGTTTAACGTTGTTTAACGATTTTTGTCAAAGGGTTGTAATAAAAAAGACGATCGTGGAGAATAAGGCAATAAGCGGATGTGTTTGGCGGTATATTTTCACTTGTTTCAAATTCTACTCTCATTACAACCGAACCGGTTTGAATACTTTCCTTCTGCTTAGAGCAGTCGATATGTGAGATGGGCGCCAAACTTTTAAAGTTATCAGGGGTAAACAATGGTTCATTTTCGGATTCATAATATGAATGACGAAATTTTGAAAACATGTCATACAAGAGAGCATATTTGTTATTGGGGAAGTCCAGATAGAGATCATTATAAGGAAATCGTTCTGAATTTAAGAACACTCGAACATTGGTTAGCTTGCAGTGATCGAACGTAGACATATTTGACTGTAGTTGGTTTTTCTTATCTGTCTGAAAAGCGAGTATCTAATGCCTCGGTGTTTCTAGCTTCGTAGTTATTTTCACTGGCCACGTATGTCTAGCGGGTAGGGAGGGATACTTAACGAGTTCCCAACTCCGGAAGTACAGTGGAATATCAATATTTTTGTTAACAAGTTTTGTCAAGGCCAATTGTTGAGGAATGTCGACGGAAACATGAGGGACTCGCCACTGTATTTTTTCAATAGTAATTTTGGGTGTTTCGGCGGTAGCGACCTTAATTGCATCAATATCATCATTACTTCGTATGAGTACTAATTCCTGTTTCATATTCAATATAATTTTGCGGTAGTCTTCAAAAAAGCCATCC